AGAACTTTTTTAATTATTCAATATTTTTCTCTATATTTTCCAGTGTAATTTACCCCGGAATTGTATAGTAGTTTTACTTGTTATATCTGTAATTTACACATGGTTTTATGCAGGTTAAACACGGCAGATTTTTTCTCTTATTGTTAATAAATGCTTAGGTTTAAATTTCTTTGACATTTTTGACAAATTTTAGGACGTATTCCATTTATGAATTATAAAGCAAAGGCTTTTTATATGCCTGAAAATGTACAAAACTATTTTTTAAGATTACATTGATTTTTCTGTAAAAATATTCCAGCCCGCAAATAAACATAAAAGAGGCATTTTAAAGTAGCTAAAGTAGTTCTTCTGATTTATGATGGAATAATCAAAAAGCATCTCTTTATAGTAGATCTGATTTGCGGTGCTTTGTCCAACGATGGAGCGTTATTTTCCATTAACTCCAATAATGCTGCTATTACAGCACTGAATTACAGAATCGCATTACAGATTACTGTGATATTTTCGTGTTCTTTTCTTATCCTTCCCGTTTGCGACACAGTTTCAAATATCGGATATGTAATTTTAAGCATAATATGTCCTAACGTTGTCTGCACTTAATTGGATTAATGGAAAATTTTCTTCATCTTGCCTAATGCACTAGAATGGTCTTTGATAAGTTTCGCTGTTTTAATTATAATACTTTTCGTAATTTTTAAAGTTGAAAAATCTTGTTCAGATGGTGATTTTTGTGAGAAGTTGTCCGAGGACCATTTTTCAAATACTACAAACGCTTCATTTCCCAGAATTAGGTGAGGAACAAATAATTTTTATGATTTTTTGCCATAATGTCACACTTCTAATTCAAATTCAGATTGTTTTCCTCTTAAATTTATGCCATGAATCAACAAGTTCAGTTTCCAAAAATTTCCTTATGTTCTTTAAAAAGTATTTTAGACGTCGTCTGTGTGCAACGGCTGAATGCGAAACTGTTAACACAGAGAGTGAAAAGACGCGGGGATCTAAAGAACAGAAACAGGCAATTTCCTATCGACAATTAATATTACTAGCACGTAATTTTCAAATTGCAAATTTATAACAATCTTTTTATTTGGAGCAAACAAAGAAGACTTTACACTTATGAGGAACGATCTCGACATTAGCTCGCTGCCTTATTTGAATTTCATTTCTGTTCAAACATTTACTGAGCAAACTCACATATGTGCTGACAGTGTTTGGTAAGGTGTCATATACTTTCATTTATTTGATTCATAAAACAGGCTTAAAAATTAAGCTTTTTTATGAAATTTATCAATTTTAGATCAAAACAAATATTTTCTAAATAATTTTATTTGCGAAGCAATGCATCCAGACAGTATTCTTCTATTGCACTTTATACAATCTCATGTGGGTAGAATAGTTGCATCTGATATTGTGTTCACACTTTGGGCTGATTATGTAAAAGCAAAGGAGTCCAGAAGACATAAGTACCAACCGAAAGTTATGGATGGCATGGCATATGGTAATCTTCATTATTCAAAATTAATAAATAATAAAATAACATACTGAAAAAAAAAATAGGATGGAATATATTCTATGTAGCACTAAGTTGAATTTTGTGATATTAAAACATCAAGTTTAGCAAATAGCGTTTAGAGGAATATCAGAATTGTTCAATTTTCCTCTCTTATCGTCCTTGCGCAGTAACGGAGACTGATTTTGTAATTGGAGAAATGCTTTTCTTGTTTGCATCCTAATTTTTCCTGTTTGTACTTATTTAATGTTTACGGCTTTTTAAAGTAATCATTTTAGATTTGCTCATGATAAGTAGCATAAAACAAGTAAGGTATCGTTTTTAGCTTCTTGGAATGACATTTAATAGTTGTCTCACTTCGAAAGTATAATTCGTATTGTTGTTTTTTTGTTGTTATACTAAGTTTGCGCTTGTTTCTCATGCATTTATTTTTTTGTCTCTAACTCGTTCTAACTGCCTTCTGTTTCTCGTTTTAATTACCATGTTGGTTTTAACTGTCATGTTTTTATTTATTGAAAAAAAGTGTTATTTATTGTATTGAAAAAAAGTGTTATTTATTGTATTGGTGCTGAATATATTCCGGTAGTATTCAACAGCTACTTCCCTGAGCGATCTTTGTTGCTTTCAGAAACACCGACCTTGGAGGAAAACCTAACAGTACTGAACAATAACCGATATTTTAATATGTCTTCCTCAAAAAACGATTCAATGGATGCCGATCTTCTTTTAAAACCAAAAGAATATTCACAAGTAGTAAGTTATTACGCCTTTCTTTTAAGGAAAAAGATAATGCTTATAGTACTTGGATGATTATTTCTCAAAAAAATTTAACAAAACTTATTTATTGCGTTGATGTTTTTTCTAACGATTTTTCTGGGTAGTGCTCTTGATAGATAATTTTCTACTTTAAAACCATCTTTTTAGTTGCCATTAAATCTCTGTTCAAAAGAGTTAGCTTCCACAAAAGTGTTCTGAATCACTATAAAACTACCTGAATATAAAAATACATTATATGTTTACCTACAGCAGTCATTAAATTAATGCTTAAGATCAAGCAAAAGCAAAGAGAGACGAACCGTCATTACTACTTTTCACATTAAAAACAAATTGTAATTGATGTAATTTATGTGATAACAAATTGTAATTTATATGATTACATGCATTTATTATTAAACATTTTATACTGTTGCAAAATATTTATGCATTTCAAGAGGATTTTCCAATTCTTAGAATCTTTTATAGGTTGATTCTGTGGATTCATGTTCATCTACAGTGTGCTCGTAAGTCTTTACACTTCTTTTGTTAATCTAATAAATCGGATTGATTTGAGTTAGAAATGAACTCCAGTTAGTCTGTTTATTTATTGTAAGCATTTATTATATTTCCTTGTGTTATACATAAGGTTGATTTCCAGAGGCCGAAATATATTCATTGGAAAAATTGGTAACTGAAGAAGCAAATGACTGATGATCTTTCTTACTGATGAACGTTCTTTTTGTGAGTTCGTTTGATTATTTTCTCATTTCTCTTGTTCAGTCTTTATTAAATTCTTACCATTGTCGTTTGCGCTCAAATTTTCTGTTTTTCCTTGTCTGCGATTAACAACACTGTTCGTTAAACTAGTGCCTACGATTACTGACAGTATAAAGTCCGTGATGCAAAACTGAACAAGGATAAAGATTCATTACTCTTTCACATCTCGACAATTGTGTCATTTCAGTCGTGTTCGGTTTCCCTCCAGAGTTCTCATATTATTTTGTGCAGTTCATTTTCTGTCTAGATTGTCGATGTTAGGTGTCAGTTTTCCAGCGACAGGATCATTCCGTTTTGTCATACAAACTTCCGTTTTATAAGACTTGACATTTCTTGAAAATGCCAATGCTTGTTGCTATTCCAACAATTGGGTGAAATATCAAGATGAGAAACAAATCTGAATCACACAAGAGCTCTGAATACAATGAAGCTTTACGGTATCTATTTTTTAGCAATCGCAGCTGAGAAAAACGAGCAGATATTGTAGCTCTTCAGTACGATGCACATTTATTGAGTTGTTATCATCAGGAGCTTATTTTATTTTTTTTTTATCTCCTATAGCTTATTGACCATTTTATTGCTTATAAATTTTCCTATATTAAAAAACATGTTTGAAGGTAATTTAGCTACAAAATTTATACTTTTGATTTTGTTACTATAAAGAATGGAAACTGATTCTTTTCCCAAACTTCTGTCTGGCGTGCCATACTCACTGAGTATCCTTTGTTGTCTGTCTTGCGTATTATCTGTCTGACCGTTTCTTTTTTGTTCCAATCATATTTTCTTATTTCAGCACTTTTGTCACCTTAAACTTCAGCACTGCACAAGTGTATCTTAGGAGAAATCTTGCTTATGGCTGTTAGAAGTTGTAAAAAGACTCGATGAAATAAAAAAGGAAAGAGTTATAATTTGAGAATGTGATGGTTTGAAATTTTTGAATAATACGTCATGCTAATTGTAAATATTTCAGCTCTTTATATTTAATGTTCTCTAACTTTCGGCGAAGGGATTATGGAAGACGGGATTTCGGCTTGTACTGCATATTTGAAATTAGTTGTTACACCTTTTGTCAGCCAATTACCTACTCTATATTTTCACAGGCAAAGAGATAAATATTAGTTAAAATAAAAAGTGTACCAACAATTAGCGAAGGAGCAGACACATGTAATTCATATTAATTCTTTCAGTTGTTTAAAGAGGTAGTGAAATGTTTTGCGAAATTTCCTTTTTTCTTCTGATAGAATATTATGTGACGAGTAGGTTTGGTTGTAAATAATTCGCCAAATGAATGATATATTTTGATATGGAACTATGCATGTCCTAATGTCAAAACTACAACTACTATTACTTGGAATTGCTTATCCTTTTTATCAAACAGTTTGCTTATGATCCAAGTGTTTTTACTTAGTCTTGTTTTGTTTACTTTTGATTTTATATAATCAACGCCATAACTGTAGTGCTTTTTCATATTCACTTCAATTTTAAATGCCTGTGTTAGATATTTGCTCGCAGTCCTTTTCCGGAATAAAATTAAACTTTTTACGAAGTTCTCTTGGTTACTAGTCGTTTTATTACAACCTGGGTAATTCCTCTGCTGCTGTTGCGACCTTTTCCCTTCCTCTGTACTCTTTCCTAACATTTCTGAACTTTTCTGTAGTTTTTTCGGAGTAAACAAGTCTGATAATGGAAGAGTTCATCTTTCTTAAGCAAAGCAATTAGTATTTAGCTAACGATTTTGGAGACGATGTAAGAGTTTTTACAAGGTGCATGATTCGGATTTTTTTCTTTTATTTTTTGGTATTGAATTTTTTTATTTCTCTTCATCGAACACTCATTTTTAGCAGGTGAAGTCCTCCGTGATTGGTTCTCTTTCAAGTGGGAGAACTGTCACTAGTGGCCAACAGGCAAACTTCTTTGTTGGGTAGTTCTTCGGAATTCCTGAAGCAACGCGAAGATGCCGGGTTCTCAAAGTGCAGCTGTTCTAACAGGGAACAGTAATAGTAGCTACTTCATAATGGATGGTAGTGATTCGCAGAATGCAGATATGATGGATTTCGACGACGGTTCTGGTCCAGCAGATCCACGACTCGAAAAGCAACAACAGCAGTTATTGCATGCAGATTTTTATAATGATTTTGGTGATCTGTTCGATAATGTTAAAGTTTGAAACTTGAAATTTTTGCACGAATGCAGGGAAATAACTATTTCTGGATTTTTTCTTTCTTTTATAGGCATCGTCTTTAATAGTTTTTAGAATAGTTATGTCTGCTTTTCTTCTGTTTCCTGATTCAGATTAATGACCTCAATAAAGCTTCGGAAATATGACTAAGTGTGAGAAATATTTTCTAAGCTATATTATTTTGAATGGCTTGTTTTCTTGGATATTTCCCGATTATTTGACAATGCGGTTTTTATGTTCTATTTGTTATTTGTCTATTAAATTTGTTTGCGTTTGACTATGTCATCATTTTTAGTAATTTCAAAAATAAATTTTCAGTTCAATCAAGAAAAAAATTATTACCGTTAGAAAACCGCAATTTTCCTGTAGCAAAAATTGAATTACGTAATGAATTCTACCATTCATGCTGCATTGTATATTGTTAGTTAATTTCTGAATGATCAGATGACTGGAGTGCAATGTCTATAAAACGGCGATGGTTTCAACTGCTTCGCTTCTTCAGGCACTGGTTAGCTTAGTTTAATTGTTTTCTCCATTTCTTTGGTAATCTTGGTAGCTTAATTAGAAACAAGTTGTTTTAGAAAAGGTGTATCCAGTAGGCCAGTGTGATGAGAATGAATTAGAAGAGAATGTGTTCTGTTGGAGTTGTTAGATCTAGTAAAGTAGAAACTCCGAAATTAAGTTTTTGAGGATTTCGAGTTCTAAGATATCATTCTTGAAAACTTTCTTTACTTTCAGGTCGTCTCTATCATCTCTACTTGCAGTATGCTTTCTGTTGCTTGTTTTTGCTCTTTCCTATAAATTAAATCAGTCTCAGGTGTGTTCATATTTATTTTTCATCCATTATCTTGTTGATTTAATAAATTTCACGTCAAAACACTTATTTGCTAATGAATATGATTAATTCACTTTTATTTACGTTGTTTTGGAACTGACGCCTTGTTTTCTAAAGTTTCAGGAAGTAATACGAAATCGTGAAAAGTACGACAGCAAAGGTGTATTGGATGGGAAGTAAGCTTTTTTTATGCTTATGCATATGAGAAATGCATTGTACGCATTCCCCAATTATTATAAAAATATTTTTTGGATTTAGTAGAGGAGTGGACACCAAAGAAATATTACGAATTGGTAGGAAAAGCAAAAATCAACATTTTGGTGGCGATGTTGAATTACCTGGTGATCCAGATCCGAATACAATTTTTAAATTAGATGAAATTGGGAATTTTGAACCGAAAGAGACACAGTTGCAGCCAGGGGATTATGGTATTCATTTAGTAATTTAATCAGCTTATCGCTTATTTTTTCTCCGGAAAATAATGCTGCTTTGCAGAGTGAAAAATTAAAATCTGGACCATTGTCTGGATTGTTAATCTTAAGGAGGGAAGATGAGTTTCTGTATTTCAGTCTAAAACTTTGCTTTCAGGAGAAATGGGTGAACCAGTTCTTATAGATAAAACTTTGACGGAGGTTAAGGAAGCGATGAGAGAATATGGTTTCAATACTTACGTGAGCGACATGATTTCTTTAAATCGAAGTATTCCTGATGTGAGGATGGATGAGTAAGTGTTATATGATCTACCGCTAGATTAAAAATAGAATATAATTGTGTGAAAGTTTCATCTTTCATTTGCAAAAATATTTGATTTTCTTTCGTTTATTCTTTCGGTTATTGTATTTAAGTTCTATCATTTTGCGTTTTCTTCATATATATATATGTTTTTTTTCCAGATGCAAATATTGGCATTACCCGGAAGATTTACCCACTGCAAGTATCGTCATCGCCTTTCATAACGAAGCTTGGACACCATTACTGCGCACTGTCCATTCTGTTTTATTGCGTTCTCCACCACACTTGATCAAAGAAATCATCATGGTTGATGATTTTAGTGACAAAGGTGTTTTCTGTTTAACGATTCATTGTTAATAATATTGCGGGTTCAAAAGATTTTATTAAGGATACTGGCTTTTTATAAGGGTTTGAAATTTGGCAACATATGCGAATAAGTTATATTTTTAATAATTTTTTTTTAATATATTTTAAATAAGTGGTTATTATATCTAAAAATAAGTATCATAAAATTTACTTCTATATAATCACAAGATATGCTTCCATTAGCTACTGTAATTTTTTCTATAGAATCTTTTTAAGTAATCAATAAATTCCTGCAGTTTTTATCCTCTTTCAAGTATAGATTTTTCATTTTTTTTACCCCTTTTTTAAGTACTCTCAAATAGTATTGCTAAATTTATATTATTAGTGCTCTTTGTTGTAAATCATTGATACTGCCCAACAATTTGCTATACTCCTTTATCATGAGCTTGCTTTTCGAATTTTTGTTGCTCTTATAACTTTTGGTAGATTTTTTTTAAGATAATTTTAAATATTACTCATCTCACAAGTAGTTTAGATCGTATCAGGTCGAATGTTCTCAGTTGCGATGCCGTTTCCTGAATTTTATTATTAGGCCATGTAATTATAGTTCCACTGAGGTCTCGAAAGACTGAGGATTTGTAGGGTAAAATTTTCTAATCAATGATATGCTTATCTCTTCTACCAGATTTTGAATTCGAAATCTCATCTTTTTGTTCTACTGAAATTGTGATTTGAATGTTTTAAACTTACCATGTTTGACGCAAATAAGAGCAATAAGATTTTTGTATTACAATCTTATTGCTCTTATTTACAATCTTAATGCTCTTTTTTCAAAACAGTGAAATCATTACTGATTTATACAGTAGGTTTTGTATTTTTCAGAACATCTAAAAGATCGTTTGGATGTCTACTTAAAGCAATTCGATGGAAAAGTAAAGTTGGTTCGGAATTCTGAGCGCGAAGGACTTATTCGTACGCGAAGTATAGGAGCTAAAGAAGCGGTTGGTGATGTAGTCATATTTCTGGATGCACACTGCGAGGTAAACGTTAATTGGTTACCTCCACTTCTTGCACCAATACGTCAGAACAGGTAAGCTAAATTGCAAGTAAGTGAAATGTACTGACTCCCGAATATTTTGTGGCTGAATTGCCCAAGTCAGATCATCACCAATATATTGATGAAAGATGATAGAATTTATGATAATCGTTCGCTATTCAGCTGTTTTTCAGTAGTCATTACACGTGCACAGTGACTTGATTTTCATTGCTTTGAACAAACAGATTCTAACAATGAATCAGTTCTTGATTGTTTTGTTCGTTTTGTTGTGTAGAATGTTAAAATTTAAATAGTTTATTATGTTTTCTCTGGCTGCTTCTAGATCTGCTCTAGTTGGGAAATATTTAATTCTTCATTAAAGGACCCCTTTCCGTTGTTAAAGCGTAGTATGCAATTTACTTTTCAGAAAAGTTATGACAGTACCGGTTATAGATGGCATTGACAAGAACGACTGGTCTTATCGAATAGTTTACGGCTCTGCGGATAAACATTATCGGTTATTAGTTCTTTTCACATTGTATTAATTTTTATTCATAATGTTCTAGTGAAAAATTTATGCGAAAGTTCTTAATATTTAATGTAGGATCAAATACTAAGAATCTTAATGTTTTGTTTAGTTTATAAAAACTCTTCATTGCAGTGGTATTTTCGAATGGGGGCTTTTATACAAAGAAACTGAGCTATCATCGCAAGAATTACTACGAAGAAAACATAATAGTGAACCATTTAGGTCATGAATTTTCATTTTTTTTTTTCACGAAGTTTTGTTTTGCAAGCATTAGGGTTATCAATTTTTTTCAAGTGTTCTTTATTTGTAGAATTTTCTAGGTCTCCAACTCATGCAGGTGGCTTATTTGCTATTAATAAAAAGTGGTTCGAAGAGCTAGGTTATTATGATCCTGGGCTACAAATATGGGGAGGTGAACAATATGAACTTTCGTTCAAAGTTAGTTTTTTCTACTTGTAAGAAAAATATAGTTTTTGGTATTTTTTTTGAATTAAAATTAAAAAATGAACACGCAAGTTTTAGATATGAAATTTTCATTTTCTTTATCTATATCAAAACTAATAAATTTTGCAGATCTGGCAATGCGGAGGCGGAATTTTGTTTGTGCCATGTTCGCATGTTGGCCATGTGTACCGGTCACATATGCCTTATGGTTTCGGGAAGCTCTCTGGAAAACCAGTTATTTCAACTGTAATTTTTCATCGTAAATCTACTCCGAGATCTTTTATTCTGATATTTCTTTTCAATTTGCATTAAAAATGTTTCAGAATATGCTTCGTGTCATAAAAACATGGATGGATGAATATGACAAGTATTACTATATTCGAGAGCCGTCGGCAAGACATCGCTTGTCGGGTGACATAAGTTCACAGCTCAAGCTTAGGAAAAGCTTGAAGTGTAAATCTTTCAAATGGTAAATTTATAAGAATTTAAAAACTTAAATTTCTTTATTAACAAAGCATGTATCAGGTGATCTCCCTGAACATTTAATTTTGGATTTTTTATATTTTTGTTATAAGAAATTCTTAAAACTTAAGGTATATGGAAAAAGTTGCTTACGATGTTGTTGTATCTTATCCCTTTCCACCGGAAAATCACGTTTGGGGTGAAGCAAAAAATCACGCTACAGGTACCTCCACTGAACTGTTATTTTTCATTATTTCTATTACTAAATATAATCCATGGATTTCTAATCTTCGATTTTCAGTTATATCTCCCACATTACTTTTGTTTCTTAACTTTTATCCAAACTTGTTTTATCAGCTTAGTGATTATCGTTGCATGATAATGTAAGTTGAAAAGCACTGTCTTATTTCAGATTTTTGTTAGATCTCTGTAAAATTGCGCGAAGAACTTTTTGCTATATAAGACTTTTAGGAAAATGTATTGACACTATGGGCCGACCTGTACCGGGTATTGTTGGTGCAACTCCGTGTCATGGTTATGGTGGAAATCAGGTAAAGTGAGTTGAAGTTTCAATTTTTCTTGTTTAATATACGTTTTAATATTGGAATTGATGAGATGTTTGATTTTAAAGCGTAAAATAGCATCAGCTTAATGTTCATTCGTTTATTTACTCTGACCAATATAATCAGGAAGATTTTGTTTCAAGTTGATCAGATTGAATAGAAAAGGCCAGTTGGCACAGGGAGAATGGTGTATAACTGCCGTACATGGGAATTTAATCACGAACCATTGCATAAAAGGGACAGTTGATGGACCCTTTACTTATAATGAGGTGAGTTTCTTTTGTTTTAATGCTTACAAGCGGCAAAATAATTTCTAATACTTCCAAAACGATGCACAAATCTTGAATTTTTAGGAAAGCGAGCAAATAATTATCAGGAACTTGTGCCTAACAGCAGCTAAATCCATATCCAGTTCGGTACTATCAATGGAAAAATGTGATTCGGAAAATCAATGGCAGAAATGGAAATGGCGAGAAATATATATTGATTAATTAACTGGATAATCTACTCAAGAACTTCCTATGTTGTTGATAATCAATATATCATCTTGAATAACTTTTCACAGAATTTTTTCTGGAATTACGAATTAACCAAAAAAACGATTTTTCTCAGTATGAAATAGGGATGAAATGAATATCTTTTTCTTTTTGGTTGTTTTATGTGCGTCTGTTGGTAATTTTGTCCTTTTATCGATCAAGTTGTTGCAAAAATACAGTTTGAAAAAAAAAAATGAACAGCGAAAGAATGGGATAAAAGACAATACTTTCCAGTAATTTTTTTTGTAAACTTTATTGACTAGTACTAATTCGTAATGTCTTTAGCTCGTTAGCCTAGAAAGTTCAGGAAAACTGATTTCTTACTTAAAATCGATTTGGAAGGCAACTTTTAAAAATTCCTTATTCAGTGCCTTTTCTTCCTTATATGGTTTTATTTCTAATGTTTTTGCTAGAACTGGTTATGCAGCTCAACAAAAGACTTAATATTTCTTTCCAGTTGTCAGTGCTTTATGTGAAATAAATGTTATGGTTCTATGTTCTTGTTTATTTTGCTTATTTTTAATGTCTATTATGATTATCCATTTAGAATGCAGTTCGTATGTTTCTGTTATTTTTTTCTAGTAATTTCAAAGTATAATTTAAAGCAATGAATTATTCGGTAGGTTTTGTTCGTATTTCTTTTTCCTCGAGTTGTTAAAATTTTCAGGCTGTGGATGCTAAGCATAAATTTTTAGTTGGGTTTTTTTGTGATTGTTAGTAGTTTGTAATATTTAAGTTGAGTTATTTATTACTTCTATCTAAAGTATGTTTGTTAGAGGAAATGCTAAAATAAGCACTCCAGACATTCACTAATTACACATTACTTATTGTGCAAACTAATTTCTTAGTTCCTGTCGCCTTTTTCATGAAACTCTTTGTTATTATGTCTAGAAAAAGCTTTTATTACTCGAATATTTGAAATCGATTAGGTTTAAAATAATGATTGTTCTGTTGTTCGAAATATTTTTGTTAACCATACATAAATATTTTCTGCTTTCATTTGTTTGCTTTTACCGAAACAGTCTATGGAACTTATAACTTATTTTGCTTTATTATGTTTCATGATATTCTTAAACCTACTGAGGGAGCAAGAAAATCCTCAACTTCTCTGTTATTCTTCATTCCCCTATTTAAATTTGGAAAAACGAATGAAAAATTGTTCATTTTTCTTGTTTATCTTAAGTCATACTCATTTTTAAGATTCTAATGTTTTGCAGGTTTTTGGTAGTATCAAAATTTGAGGTTTTCACCAAATGGAGGCTTCATTTGTGGAATCATTGAATATATTTGACTGTAAATGGATTTTCATTATCGTCATAATAGCCGCACTTAGGTAATAATACTCAATAAACTTATAGGATATCTTTTATAATTAATATGCTATGTCAAAAAAATATCACTTATTCTTAAAGAAGATTATACATTATGCACATGCCCTTTTTTTCGAGTGTTTCTTCTGTGAATTGTGGTTGATCGAGAATAAAGTTTGGTATATCCTGATTTTATAATTATATTTCAGTATTTGTAATATTGTATGGCTTGATTATTCTTGTTTAACTGTTTAAGGTTTTATTTCAAAGGAGCGCAGTTCAGAGAACTTAACACAGCTAAAGGCTTGGTAGTAGTTATAACAGGATGTAATTCTGGTATAGGAAGAGAGATTGTACGAGAGCTAAATCTCCGTGGAGCAAAGGTGTACATGCTGTGTCGCAGTGAGGATCGAGCTCGGAATGCTGTCCTTCAACTTGTTAAGGTTGAAATTAATAAATCAGGAATTTTAATCATATAGACAAAAATTATGCATTATAGAAGTATTTGAATCTTTTTTATCGTTTGTTATTCATAAATAGTAAATCTAAAATTAGTTAACAAAACATAAGATCTTGTACAGCATTTAGTGATGTCAATCTCTAAGGTGGTGATGTTTTTAATATTTTTTTGTAATTTCTCATCAAATTTGAGCCATTTCCAAATAACTTTTACAAAATATTTAATTATTTTGATCCTTATTCTCAGCTTGGTTGTAATCCGCAGAGACTATTAGTCAAAGTAGTTGACCTTGCTCAATTCAAATCAGTCAGAATAGCAGCAGCAGAAATCATAGAAGGTTTCTATTATCTTTGCAATTTTGTAGTAGAGTTTTCTCAACTGTATGTACAATGACGGCTTTGTTTCTTTTAGGAATCTAGATGGTTTAGAATTTGGGGTTTGAAATTTGTGTTGGAATGTGCTTTGGTACCACTGAGTATGTTTTTCCAAACTCGATTATGCATCCTTTCCTTTAATTCATTAGTTCGTATAGAAGAATTTTGTAAGATTAATAAGATTATTATATTTGTATTGCAGAAGAAGATCACTTGGATATTCTAATTAATAATGCGGGTATTATGCTGTATCCAAAGTTTAAACTGACCGATGATGGTCATGAACTAGTCTGGCAAACGAACTATCTCGGTTAATATTAAAAGGATGATAAAATTTTCTCTTAAATGTTAAATTACATAAAGATAAAAAATTCTTTTCTATAACTATTAAAATTTTAAAATAGAACCATGTCTGATTTCTCTTTAAATATTAATTTTCCAGTCTAATTAAAAAATTCAATTATTTAGGAAAAAAAGGCAAAGAGAACAAATTCTCAACAAATTTATTTGGTCAGATTAATTTATAAAAAATGAGTGAAAATATTGTTTAACGAAAAAATTTCTTATTGTTCCATTGTCTTAACATGTTCTCTTTGTCTATTGGTTTTTATTTACCGTATCAGAATCAGTTTCATCCTTAAAAAGGTATTGATATTACGGCATATGATATCTTTCCATTCTAACCTAAATCTTTTTGGCATTTCTGCTATCCATCTGGTAAAAATATCTCAACAGTTACCTCTGTTTTACCTTCAACACGTCGGACACCAAAATTGTACGTTCTGTACTTTCAGAACAGTTTAGGTTGTAGATCATATCTTCAGACGATGTAGATAGAAATTCATAAATATATTGGTATTAATAAGCGTTAATTTTGATATTTTACCTTGTTGAAAGGCATTGTAACGGAGCGGAAATTTTTCAGGACATTTTTTGCTCACTGAATTACTTCTACCTCTTCTTCGAGCTGCTCCAAGCGCGCGCATTGTCAATGTTTCTGCATTAGCCCATTTCTATGCCGATCCTATAGATTTGCAGTTGATTGATCGTAGAGAAGGTTGGGATTCGAGACAGTCATATTCGAAGTCGAAACTTGCTATGGTATTTTCATAACTTTTCTTTGTTATTTTACGCTTTAATAAGTTGCTTTATGGAAAACAGTTGTAATTTATTTACATAATTTTTCAAGGTAATGCATGCATTTGAATTGACTAGAAGATTACGAGCATGTGAAGGATCACATGTAACAATAAATGTATGTCATCCTGGACTATGCAATACACGATTGATGCGCTATACTCCACTGGCACAGAAGCCGCTGAGCTATCTCACCGCACCATTCAGGTTCTTCATTTTATGCAATTATTTTATAGTGTCTGAAATTTCAAGTACTCATATGAGAAAATTTAGGAGTCTCATCCAATTACCACATCTTCATATAATTTAATATATAGAAATTAATATAATATAATAATATAATAAGATCCAATTACCACATCTTCATAATAAAATATACTATTTCAACCGCTCGCTTTTTGTTTTTACACCATTCTAGATATGGCTGAAAACATAAATACTATAACAATCCAGTTTACCACATCTTCATATAATTTAATATATAAAAATTAATATAATATAATAATATAATAAGATCCAATTACCACAGGAATATGTAATTCGCACATTTATTATTTCCTTAAATGATCTTTCTACAAATATATAGAATCGATCAGACATTAACAAGGAACTATTTTTCATGTCGAGAAATTGGACTATTTTAATTGAGTTACTTTTTATTTCTTCCAGATGGTATTTGCTGAAGACTCCGAAGGACGGAGCTCAAACCCCGCTTTTCTTGGCTTTGTCGAAAGCTGTAACTGGTTCCTCAGGACTTTATTACAGGTATCAGAAACATTAGCTTTATTGAAAATTTTTGGTTAGAGCTCTTGTTTATATATTTTCTAATACTTTTAGAATTAAAAAGATATTTTCAATGTACTAACAGTGATATTTCTGATCATTTAAGTGCCATCAGTTTCGTCAAAGGACAGTTATCGTTTGAAATATTACCTAATCCTGAGATATTAAGCTTTATTTTACACTTTTTAGTCTGTTTTGGTAGAAATTTCAGTGCTTAAAAACTATTTCAGATCTTATCCATTCCTGTGGGAATGGAAACAGGAGCAAACTCCAATTTTTGTAATTAAGCAGGGAAAAAATCAGTATCTTATTTTTTTTTTTTTTTTTTTAGTGAGTGTGTATCAAAACAGTTTATTGAAATGATGGATTGGGAAAAGAAATGTGCCAAGTTGTATGATTATTCTCTGCATGCTACAGGTTTTGATGTAAAAGAGTTGTAAACGATTGAAAATTAGTTACTACTGAATTTGATTGTTATCCATGACACATGACACATCGGGTGACATTCAAATCTTATAGGCTCTTGTGTTTTGCAGTTTTGCAGTGGTTGTCATACCGAGAATTAAGAAGATCAGATGCTACAAAAAGTTTGTATTTAATTTTAGAATTAATTTTATCCCATAAATTTTTTACACTGCTTACGTACATTTATGATCATTGCTGCTTGTATGCTTCATGCTTTTATATTTTGCGGATAACTTATCAAAAGTGTTACTACTTCTCTAACACATTTTTTGATAAATGCAGCTCTATTACGTTTACACATTAAAAGCGTGCGATTTATAGCTGGGATTTTGCAGAAAAATTCTTTGTATTTATTAATATTTTTCAAGTTTGATATTTTAGGTACAGATCTTTCTTATATTCGAAGAGTCTTCAGCAATTTCATTA